GACCTGGAGGATCAGGCAGGAGCCTCAGTGTCGGGGGAAACCATGGAGGGCTTTTTCAAGAGAAGCCGGACAGGCCAGGATGTTGAGGGCTCTAAGGGCCCTGGTGACCTGTGAGGCTGGGTGGACACGGCGGCAGCTGGTGGGGGTGTCCTCCGTGCTCCAGGCAGATGGCCTTATTTCACCTGAGGACCGTGTGAATCTAAAATGGCACTACCAACGGGCGTGGTGGTGCAGGCCTACACTCCCAGCTCCTAGAGGCTGGGGTGGGAGCAGCACAAGTTCAAGGCCGGCTTGGGCAACTTCAAGACCTTGTCTCAAAACAACCCCAAAGCTGTTTCAAAGGGCTCAGGATGTAGCTCAGCAGTAGAGCATTCCTGGGTTCGACCCCGGTGCTGAAGAAGTAAATAAAGAGCAATTACCATCAGTGCGCACAGCAAGAGGCGCTGCTCCTGTAAGGCAGGACTGTCTTTTTCTTGAACTGTGTCTTGAGAACACCTACTTAGGAATCATCTCAGATCTTCCTGCTATTTTTACATCGGTGAAGAAATGGAATTTTCCATGATTCAGAAGCCAGGAACTTAGTGACATCCACATTCCAATGGCAGTTTAGACTGTTTGTTTCTACCAGTCGGAGCAAAACCAAATCAAAGCTCAACAGCACATGGGCCATGTGGCAGGTCAGTCCTGCTCAGAGGGAAGGAGCGGCCTACGTGTCAGGGAGAAGGGACAAGCCACGGCTGTTTCCAACCTGGGACACAGGCAGGACAGGAAACACACCTGAGGAGCTGTTTTCAAGAACTAGCACCTGACACCCGCCAGCCAGGTGTGGGCCGAACAGGGGCTGCTCAGCCACCCAGGTCCTCGTGAGGGCGCCCTGGGAGCCAGGGTCAGACGCACAGTGCACTCTCCGACAGGGCACCGTCTGTCCTCGCTCAGCTGTGGCTGCAGAGCTCATTCTTACAGGTCCACTTAGGAATCACACCGCACACGACTCTTGAGGCAGGAGTTCCGGCCGTGCCCCCGACGGCCGCTCCCCTGACACGGAAGATGAATAGGTGGCTGTGCTGGACTGCGACGCCCCGAGCTCTCAGTTCTTTCTCATTATCCCCTCTATTTTTCCATCATGGTCTCCCTACGGCTCATACTTCTGTCCACAGAAAGGGAATCTAAGGATTCCAGAACAGCCCCCCTACCCCATGACCCAGCAACGGGTCTGAGAGCCAGAAGACGCTCACGGGTCCCTCCCTAGGAAAGCTGGACAGGCAGGGCTTTTAAAGAACCTGGAGACTATCAATTGTTTTCAGGTAAATCCAAATGTAGACCACAAGGCACCCAGCCACTGAAACCCACACGCTGGCCTTTAGTATTTCAGTTTTATTCAAATGCTTAGAACGGTGCATGCAGAACATCCAGCAGAGATGCAGGGGTGAGTTCAGCCGGTCAGTCCCGGAGCGGGGTGGCCCGCCTGTCCTGGACTGCCTGGGGCATGTTTTGAGCAAGGGAAGTCCCAGGCCTGGGAAGCCCTTAGTCCTGGGTGACCTGGGGCCCTCTAGACTGGCTCTAAGAGTCATTTAATTAATAACAGCATCCAGCCGGGAAACGTGGACAAACTGAACCGGGTTTTCTGGGCCCGTCTTAGCCCCAGCCTGGAACTCATCCCATCTTGCTGCCTCCATCTCAGGACAGGTTTCCCTCAGGAACCTAACTCACCCCATAAGCTGCTGTTTATTAAGAGTTTTGGGTCAAAACTTCAGAGTTACAGTCTTAAGAGTCTGAAGTGCTCCAGATGACAATATATTATCAAAATTCCTCCCCACTGAATGAATCTTTCTCTCAGTCACCTCAGTGACCTTTCTGCCATGTGGTATCTCGGAGACAACTTAGGAAATGGGTGCCACAGTGTGGATGGTGTCTTGAAAGATCACCTTTTGAAACAGCCAGCACGCAACTTCAACATTTGAACCAGAAACTCATCTGCACCTCCCAGTTTCTTACTGAGGGGAGTCTGGATTCTGCCCCAGACATCTCCTTCAATCCCTCTTCCCACTGAACCAGGAATGCCCGATGAGCTCAGTGGTTACAAGCCTGTGGCTCCCAACACCTCAGAACAGAACTAGTCCCTTCCAGGCACCTAATAGAGAGTGACCTAGAACTTGCTGCCCTCCAAACCATCATTGAAAGCATGGTGATGGACATGAAGTCAACGAAGGGTCACACTGTAGGCTGCCATCATACTAGACTCAGTACAAATCCACCCCACGGCTAAGCCGCCACCTTGGGGAACTATGCATGTGCCTGCCCCAGACGCATGTTTCCCCTGGCACCAGGCAGTGGCTTTTGCAGATGACAGCAGCACTGGCACCACAATCATGCACCAAAGGCCAATACATGCCTCCCCCACACCCCAGCAACACTCACGCATGACTATGGAGGAGAGAGAAGAAGGAACTGCCAACACCGAGGGAAAAGAAGAGGTCTGGGCACAGGAGAATTTTTGAAGAACTGATTTGGATTATTTAATCAAGAGGTTGGAGTGAAAAGTCGCCCTCCTACAGGCGTTTCCTGGAACCTGCTGTTGTCACCACCTGTCTCTTGGCAAGGTGCACACGTGGGCCTTGGCTTCCACATGCACAGGCTACCTGCTCTGCACAGGTTCCCTCTGATGAAGCCTGTGCTCAGCAGGAGGCCACTATCCATCCGATTTCATGTTCCAGCCATGGAGTTCCACCAAGAAGAGTGTGCCGATTACACTTCTTGCTGTAACACACGTATAAAGCATGGGGCCCGGGATTAGACTCTGCTCTCGGAAGAACGAAGCCCTCAACAGGGCGGTTCCCTACAGCCAGGACAGCACCGGGCGAGGAGCCAGGAAGACGACCCGTATCCTCAAGGATGGGAGCAGGGCACACAGTGGGCTGTGGAACCGCAAAGTCCTCCGTGGGGCAGCCTCAGCAAAGGTGTGAGCCCTATGCCCGGGAGGCCTCTTGGAACAGGTGTGCCCAGTCTCTGATTGAGGGGCCACCTGGTGAACCAGCCTACTCCAGATAAACAGGAGCAAACGGAGCATGAAGAAAAGTCCTCACTACAATAAAGAATGCGTGTGTCTACAAAGGAATCCATCCATATACCCATCTGATTCCGTCTATCCATGGGATTATCTGTACCTATCGTATATTAATGTATTCCTAGATACCTGTGTTTAGATGCTCCTTGACTTAGGTGGGTTATGTCCCAGTAAGCCCACTGTTGAGATGAGATTATGCAGGTGAAAAGTGTATTAATTCCTCCACCTGCCAAGCACCGGGCTTAGCCTGGTCTACCTTAATTGTGCGAAGAACACTCACACCGACCTAGAGTTGAGCAGAATCATCCAACACCAAGCTCATTTCAAAATCAAGTGTTGAGCATCTCAGGCAAGTTACTGAGTACTGCACTGGAGTGAAGGCTGGGAGGGCTAAATGGGCAAAGTTCACAACAGCGTCCACTTGGAGATGCTCATGGAGAGCGTCACACGCCGCAGCCTGCCTGCACAACCCTCAGGAGTGTACTTCCAGCCAAGCACCGAGGCATGTCCATTACCATGTGAAGAAGCCAGGAGGCTCGAGAAACACCTGCTTTGTTGACATGGTTCTGAAAGGTGTAGTTGTAGCTGTAACACGGGGGAAAGGGCAACTCACACCAGCAGCAAATTAAGCAACAAGAATACCATCTGTTAGCAAGCGTGCTGGGAAGACTTAAGGCAAGTGTTCTTGACAGCGCAGGGGAAAAGGCCTCTTGTATTTTGCCAGAGGAGATAAACTGATGCAATGTCTCTGGGAATCTGACAACATACACCAAAAGCCATGATCAAACACATACTCTTCCGCTTAGGACGCTGATTACTAGTAATCAATCCTAGGGCAGTGGACAAGGACAGAGGGACACAGGACACTGATCAGAGTTATAATAGTGAAAAAATTCAAAGTAAATTTCTTTGTCAAATGCCTGTCTTTGGGGTACTGTTGAGTCACTTAGGGTCCAGCTGTACAGGGACCATTGCATAGTCAGAAAATGGTGGGATACAAGTGGATTTGTGGACACAAATTGGTGCACATGACCAGACCAGATGTGGGTGGAAGCTCAGAGCCCACACACGTGTGGAAGCAGGAGCTGTGCCTGTGGAAGCACAGGCCCACGTGTGCAGGAAAGGCCGAGGGTGTACCTCAAAATGCCAGCAGCAATTGTGTTCTCCACGAGTATTTTACTTTAGGAATAATTTTAATTTTCTTTCATTATATTTATTTCTAACTTCCTGCCAACAACTGTGCAAGTCTTGAAATTATTTCAAATTCTAAACACTAACATCTTGACATAGTGATATAATCAAATGACCCAACCCACTAACACTATAATCTTCACATCTCTCTACCTCAAGCCAAATGCCATGGGATGCATTGTTAACCAAAATGAACACCCCCAAACTTGGATTTTACCAAAGCTTGCTTTGTATTTTCCCTCAAGAACAAGATTAGTTGTTTCTTAATCTAATATAAATTATTTTAGCCTAATAATAATAAATTTTCTTAACACCCAGGGACGTTTCTCCTGTCTTACAAATGGGCATGTGTTATTTGACAACAAACACTGAGCCATGAATTGCATTTAACTTCCTGTTTTTGTTCTTAGACATTCAGAGCTGAATTTTAGGTTCAAATGGGATTGCGTCCTTCATTATGGATTTTCCTATAGGTACCTTCTTTTTCTCTTTCACTACTTGCTCCTGACTTTCTACATCATTTACAATTTTACTTCATCTCTGTAGGATGAGAGAGCTAGGGAGGGAGGCGAGGGACAGACCCCTGGCCCAGCAGAGTGTGAGGACAGTGCCATTCATCTCATGACTGACCAGGAGACCAGCTACCCCTTGAACCTCAGAGGTGAGTGGCTGCCTGCTCTTAGGCCCTGCCCCCCATGCTCAGCTGAGGCCTGCCCCTGCTGGCTGCTCCCAGGGCTGAACTCACATGCAGACTTGGATGATAGGTCAGCACGCCGTTGTCACACAGGGTGACGTATTTCTTCTTCCACTCCTTGTTCAGTGACTTGCCACTTCGCTTTAAGAGCATGCCCTGGAAGGAAAAAGGAGCCAAACAGTCAGCTTCATGGGAATGGAATGAGAAGTCAGTGCAGAAGTAATTTTAAACATTCTTTGTGTCTTTGCCAACTTACAAAGGAAAGTATGCTCAATTTTGGATTGAATTTGCTTTTTTCCTTTTTATGTACAAAACATATAGCATACTTTCAAATTTCTTTGTGTGTCTGTATAAAGAACTTGGCTTTGTGGGATTGGTAAATGCTAAAGACCCACCCTCAGCTCAACAAATAATACAAAACATCCTGACACAGCTACACTGTTCAAATAACAAGTCATAAAAGCACAGGAAACACCTAAAGGAACAGTGTTTTGAAGACAGAAACCCAAACTTCCTTTTTGAAAAATAACCAATGAACTGTATACTTACCTTATATTTGTAAATAAGGACATTTCATTTCGTAGTTCCTTTCATTTCAGAATTTTAGCTTATTAAAACTGAAGTTCTACTTGCCAACTTTAGTGATGACACTTCATGGATGAACTGTGTGTAATTTTTAAATCCATCTTTAATGAAATCACATTAGGGCTTCTGGAAAACCATTCGGAATTTGAAATCGACCCATCTTTAAAGCCACATTTAACCCAGTCTTTCATGAATGACTGACTCAAATACACTCCTGTTTTAACTGGGAGCCCCACCTGCCCCGAGTTCACAGGCTTTCCTGGATTAGGAAAGCAGGAGCCAAGGCTGAGCAGGGCTCAGGCTCTCCCCTCCCAGCCAGGGCTTCCTGCCTGCCCAGCTCTGTCCATTTCAACTCCAGCGTTCACATCCTGACTCTGTCTGTCCCTTTTAGAAGATGACGATCTTCTCACTCCTGCCCCTGCACACTGAGGATGACGCAAGATTCTCCGTGCTCTTCCTCTTGCTGTTTATAAACCACACGATCACCGTGATCGGAAAGCACAAGGCCGATGCCAGGTGACTCACCCAGACGGAGCAGGAAGGAAGGCTACAGGTTCTGAGACGCACTCAGACACCTTGGGGCAGCAGGGGCACTGAGGGCCTGCTCTGGAAGTTTTATTGGCCTCTCTTAAGAATGGCCACGCGAGACAGAATTAGACAAGCCTGCCTTTAGATATGATTAAGCTCAAGTTTCAATTAATTACCAGCATTATGGCAATACTGTGTTTTATTTACTCAAATCATAACATAACCGAGTTCCATAAGTACAAAGGATTAAAAGCCAGCTTGGGGTTCTCATCACTATTAAACACTGTTGCCAGAGGGAAACATTTCAAAACTTGAAACAACTTATCAAGGAATCTTTGGAAAATTATTTCCTTGTAAGTTCTTACTATTTAAAGAAAATATTCAGCAACATACGGTGTCCCTTGGTTTCTGGGAGCATCAACCCATCCAAACCAAGCTTGGTACCGACCCACCCGATGAACCAGTCCAGAGGAAAATGTTACAAGCTACAAACCAAAGCAATAAAAGCTTCATTGCATGGTACCAATTAGTGGGAGAGGGACAGTGACTGCCAGCCAAGCAGTAATACATAAGCCATGGCTTCAAACCACTGCGCGTCCCTCCCCGGGGATCCTACCAGCTCTGCACTTAGCATAACGAAACCTCTCCCAAGTTCTCCTGTGGGCTCATATTTTTCCATCATCCGTTTCAGATGGAATTCCAACAATACCAGGGGCTGGGGGTCACTGTGGTGTCACTGGAAGATTAGAGCTGCTCCGGGCTTCAGAAGGCTTTGTCCCTTCCCACTGACAAACGCAGCCATAGCGCACACCCCTGGGGCTGATGGACTCACACAACTCGCTCCGCCGGCTTGGGGCAAATCCTGCACTCGTAATTATCCTTCCACCAATGAAGGCCACAAGACTTATTTATTAAGGAAGAAAGGGAAAGAGCCCAATTAGGAGGCATGGAGGGGTGATGTCATAGCTTCCTGGAGAACAGAATGAGGCTGATTTGCTCCCATGGCAGAAAACACTGTCTGAGTGAAGGAAAAGCCAACCTTGAAGGCTTGATGGACTCTACGGTTCATATGGAGGAGACGGTCGGGTCCTGCGAGCTATGGGGACGCTGTAGCTATCTGTGGGCCTCTAGAAAGCTTCAGAAGCCGTATTTCTGCCCTCCAGTCTTGGGCCCCTGTGGCTTTATTACAACGACCCCCACCAAAGACTGCTGAAGAGACTGAGTCCCTGGGCTGCCCTGCTCTCCGCCTCCAGCCATGGCTGAGCAGGGCTGGGGCAGGTGGCCTGAGCACCCCTGGCATCTCTGTCTGGTCCTCCATAAGCAACAGGGTCAGGGATGGCAACACCGTTCAACTTGCGGTTTCTGAGCCAAAGGAGGCAGAGAAGCTTGTTACCACGGGGAGGTGGCAGGCAGTCCCGGACACCGCCCTCTGCACTGGGTGGCTAGATCCTGCCGTTCCTGCTTACAGGCAGTGACTGGAACCCGTGTGTATTCCCCTGGCTCCTCTGGCGAGGCACACGCACAGGGGCTGGTGCTTGGGATCCCCCATGCAGGCACCAAGGCCACTGGCCCTTCCTGAGAGGAAAATGAGACTCCAGGCTGCAGGTGTTCAGCACCCAAGAGACTCCCAGGGAACGTTCCTGGCCAGGGGGTCCCCTTCAGGTAGACCCGGGGAGCCCACATCTCTCACGGTTCCCTCCTCCTGAGTGTCATGTAAGCTTGAGTGAGAGAGCAGAAGTGCCACTCCAAGGTGAAAAAGTGCAGAAATACCCGCTGGGGCTGGGGCTGGGTGTACAGGCCTGCAGGTCCAGTGACTGGGGAGGCTGAGGCAGGAGGCCTGCAAGGGCAACCTACTGAGACCCTTAGCGATTACCAAGACTCTGTCTCCAAGTAAAAAATAAGAAGGGCTGCGGCTGCAGCTCAGTGGTTAAGTGCCCCTGGGTTCCGTCCCCAGCACCCACTAAATACAGACATACGTACCATATGTGGTCTGCGGCTCTAGAGGTGGGGGCTTCCGCATGCTAAGAGAAGCCCAGGGAGCCCCATGGGAAGTGTCTTGGGGTCTCAGAGAACATGATGAGCACTGCTAGAGGCAAATCTCAACCCTACCAGAAAGTTCCAGGAATGGGGTGGCCAGGGCTGCTGGACCCTGGAGAAGGCCAGGGCTGCTGGACAGGGGAGTGGGGCACCAACAACCTCCCCACGGCAAGAGTGATGGGACCTATGCACAATGGCTCTGGGGTTAAAACCCTGGCTACAGATCCCACAGCTTTGGTCCCTGACACAGGTCGGTCCCAAGGAGTCTGCAGACTGGCTGTACACGGGCTCACCTGGGACCTCGGGCCCAGAGTCGCTGGTGTCAGTGGGGGCACCCCTGCCCCTCAGTGCGTCTTAGTGTTCGGAGCAGCGGCAGCGCCTGGACCCCCGGGAGGATTCCCTGCTGGGCGCGCCACCAGGTGCCAGGCGGCAGTGGCAGAGGCCAGGCTCCTCGGTTTCCAAGTCACAGCTCTTCCTTTCCCTCAGACCAGCTGGCCTCCTCCAGCACACCTCCTGCCTGGCCCCGGAGGGGAGGGGAGGTTAGAGCAGGAGATGGTGGAGGTCACCTGACAGGCATCAAGACCCCTCTGCCAGCCGCCAGGAGGGCAGATTCTAAGGTGGCCTGATGGAACCCAGTGTCAAAGTTGCCACTCAGAGTGGCCACTTGGACGGGCAGCACTGGCCTCACCTGAAGCCCACTAGATGTCTGTCTGCAGCCCAGAGCAGCAGGGCCACCCTGAGTTCAACAAGGCCCCAGGTGACCTGAGTGCCTCTTCGTCTGAGCAGCTCTGGGCCCAGACCTTCTCAGGAGCACCGAGCTTCTCCAGGGGGCATTCACCCTGCAGAGAGCTCTTCTTAATGGCTGTCCAAAAAGTGAGCAGCTACTGGACTCCACTGCCCAAGCGGGCGTTGGTGACTTCAGAGGTCTCACGTGGTGCCAAGGGGGAAGTACAGGGGGAGACTGGTACATGAACAATCCACTCTGTGACCCGGTGGGGCCCACCCTGGCACTGCAGGCTGCACAGAAGAAAATGACTTCACTCAAGAACGCAGGACGTGGGTGGCCGCAGGACGAGGGTCACCGCAGGACATGGGTGGCTGCTCGGCCAGGGCGACCTTTACAGCACCGCAGTGATTTTGCTTCATTATCCGTCATGATAAAATATTGCTGTTAATTTAAATTTATTCTTTAAAAAAAGCCATTAGTTGCAATTATTCTTAATCATTTTGGGTTCTGTGATTACTTAGTTTTATGAGTGCATATAATGTCTGGCCTTATCGTGAAAACAGCTAGGCCAGTGCTGGGGGGATCCAGGTGGCTATTTTCTAAAGGGTTCCAAGTGGCCCACAAGTCCCTGGGAGAGGCTGGGCTAGAACAGGAACGAACTGGAGTCACCTGCCCAGGGGCAGGAGAGGGTGGGGAACGTGGGACGAGGAGGTGGCTGGGAGAGGCGACTGCAGGAGGATGGCAAGGGAGCATGTCCTCCCCGTGACTGTCCTGCGTCCTGCGCTCCAGTTCTCCCCTCTCCTACTGACATTTCCAAGGCTGTTGTGAGATTCTCAGAGCAGACAAGAGCCAGGTAGGTCCCATCCCGCTTGTCCTGGGGGTAGGAGCATGTGGTGTGAGGAAGGCCACCACCCTGACGTGCACCCTGCCGGCCAAGCCGCCTGCTGCAGGTGGAGGCCCCATCAGAGCTCTCAGACCTTGCTGGGCCCACCCAAGTCCCCGCATCAGAGGTACCTAGAGTGAGGAAAGGCCGCTGCAGCCCGCCTCAGGAAGGGGCGTGGGGCCGAGCCTGACAAGCTGGGGACGCCCTTGGGTAAGCCACCTTGTTCCCATTCCACCAGGTGACCTGGACGCTCAGGTCAAGACTGCAGCTCTTGGTGACGTCAACAGCCTGATACCGTGGGCAGCGGGGCCAGGACAGAAGCACATGGGGGGCCGAGGGGACCCCATACTGCTACAGGCAACAGGAGACCACAGGCCTGCTCTTCCTCAAAGGACC